ACATGGCTCTTTTTTAAGTCACTATATTAGGAAATCATTAATGTCGCTGTGGGAAAAGTTAAAGACAAAATTGTATAATAAAGTACCAAGATGGCTTTCACCTATGGAAGCTCTTGTATATCCAAATGCATTGAACTTTGAAGGGATCATAAGATATAACAACATTTTGGATAATGATGGAGGATTGAAATTGAATCAAGAAATACAAGAACAAGGATCTAATATTTCTTGGTGGCATAAGGTGCAGATACAATCGAGATATGCTAAAGACTATAGAATGTGGGGCTTTTAAGGATTTAACAGCATTTGATCAGGTAATGCTTAAATCAGATGAGAAAATGATTAAAAGACTATATAATTTCTTACTAGATAGGAGAATGGAAGATGAACAGGTTAAGGAAACTATGATAAGGTGCGAACAAAACTTTGGATATAATATTGAATTAGAAAAATGGCAAAAGCTGTGGGAGAGAAATATTAGGTAACATTAGCAACTTCATATAAAGAAAACCTGTATAAAATGTTTTATAGATGGTATCTGTCACCAAATAGATTAGCTAAGATGTTTCCAAATATGTCAAATGGATGTTGGAAATGTAAACATAAATTGGGTACTTTCATATGTGGTGGACTTGCGATAATGCAAAAAAGTATTGGATTAAAATACATAAATGGCTTGAGGAAATGTTACAAAAACCCTTAGCTTTTAAACCTGAAATCTTCTTACTAGGCATTATACCTGTTGATATTAGTAAACAAGAAATGTACTTGATTTTACATGAAATTACTGCGGCAAGGATTGCATTTGCTCAACACTGGAAAAATGAAGAACCACCCACTGATGAACTGATCCTAAAAAAGATCTTGGACTGTGCAGAAATGGATAGATTGACTTTGTCATTGAAGAAGAAAGAAGATATTGATTTCTATCAAACTTGGGACACTTTTTATTATTGGCCAGAGAAACGGAACTTCGTATAGATTTAAATATGTTTTTAAGTTATCATAAATAGAAAAAAATGTGGGGGCTGACCCAGCAGGTTCAAAGCTTTCTGATGATTGATGTTGTTTTTAGTTTTCCTTTGTTTTAGGGTTATTTTGAATAAAACTTATTATAGGGAAAAAAAAGGAAAAACTCTGCCGGATGGCACTGTGAGGAAGCAATGGAAGTGGAGAAGAACTGCCTCTTCACTGCCCTCACTGCCACAGCATAGGCACGATAATGTGCACGTAAGTTCGGTCAGATTCATTCCGAGATTTCCTCCACCTGAGCTCTAATCATCTCCCAGTCTGCTTCATCACCCACAAGTCAGGCGTATAACATGGTGCCAAGCGGGCACTGCTAGTCAGGAGAGGACGCTTAGGAGCGATCATGTCAATTGCCCTGGCCATCTTCCTATTCCATGAGTCGACCAGGACATCAACAGGAGCGGCAGCTTTATCTGCCGGAAAATCCCCCCGAGCCCTCAGGAATCCATCTGGATCAATCTGGCTCTGGGGGCAGACCATCCTAATAGGGCCTGCACCCTTCTGGAAGGAGAGATCAGTCCTGAGCTCAACCCTCACGAGGAAGTGGTCTGACCATGACAGAGGAGTTAAGATCAAGTTTCTCACTTCAAGGCCACCTCTTCCCGTCCTGTCAAGAAAACCAGGTCAAGTGTGTGACCTCTTTCATGTGACAGTTACAATGTATGGCTGTGAAAGCTGGACCATAAGGAAGGCTGAGCACCGAAGAACTGAGGCCTTTGAATTGTGGTGCTGGAGGAGACTCCTGCGAGTCCCTTAGACTGCAAGGAGATCAAACCAGTGAGTCTTAGCGGAGATCAAACCTGACTGCTCTTTAGAAGGCCAGATACTGAAGATGAAACTCAAATACTTTAGTCACCTAATGAGAAGGAAGGACTCACTGGAGAAGAGCCTAATGCTGGAACAATTGACAGTAAAAGAAGGAGATGGCAGAGAATGAGGTGGCTAGATGGAGTCACTGAAGCGGTCGGTGTGAGCTTAAGTGGACTTCAGGAGATGGTGGAGGACAGGAAGGCCTGGAGGAATGTTATCCATGGGGTTGCAATGGGTCAGGCACGACTTTGTGACTAGCAGCAGCAGAAGTATTACTTCCAAATCACAAGTAGTTCCTCTATAGTCCTCACTATTCAAACCTCATCTAGAATAATGTGTCCAGTTTTGGACACGAAGATCTAAGAAAGATGCAGCAAAATTAGAAAGGGTCCAGTGGAGGGAAACAAAATGAGGCAGGGTTTGGAAACACTGTCCCACGAGGAGAAACTGAGAGAACGGGGCATGTTCAGACTTGGGAAGAGGAGAGTGAGGGGGGGGGACATGATATCCCTCTATAAGTACCTCAAAAGCTGCCACAAGGAGGAAAGTCAGGAACTCCTCTTGCTGATAGCACAATTGTATGAATTCAAGTTGTGACTACCCAGATATTGGGTAATGTTTTCACATATTCAGAGCAATATGAAAGTGAACCCCTTGTCTAAAGGGCTTTCCCACACTAGAGACATTCAAAAAGAAACTGGACAGTCATCTGAGTGGGATGGTATAAATTGGTGTCCTACAACAACAGGGGGTTGGAGCCGATGGCCTCCATGCGCCCTTCCAGCTCTAGTATTCTATGATTCTGTAAGTGTTGAGACCCAAACATTCTCACATAGACAGATATTATACAAGTTTATGGTGTATGCACACACAGAAAAGGCACTCAGTTTTAGGAATACAGTGGCAAAGTGCTACCAGCAATTTGCAGAGCATCTTTTCTAGCACTGTAGGCTAATCACTAAATTCTTTGAGCACTATACTCTTAGGAATGTTTGTTCTTTGTTTCAATCTTGCACTGCCCAGTATCTCATTCTCTGTAAATGGGCTGTGTATAAACATTGGAAACATGTCCAATTTTATAGCCATTTTTAGAATATCATCCAAATTCTGAGTGCTTTTGAATCTCTTACTGTGTTAATTATTCCAAAGAAGCTGTCAAAAATGAGTATGAGCATCTCTGTAAGCTAACAGCATAAGATATGAAAGGTAGCTATTATTTATAATGGCTGGAGTATGAAACTACATGTGTGCATGTACCTCTGTGTCAGGGATGAAGAATCTCAAGCCTGGAGGCCAGATCAAGTTCACCTGAAAATTAGCTTGGGCCCTTTGCTGTTCCTCAGATTATCAAAATCCACCCCCATGGCACTGCTCCCTTTTCCCCAACCAGTATGTTTGCTGGTTCCTGGCTTTTGTGTAGTTTTCTTTCCCATTCTTAGAAATAGGAAATGCCTCTGCTAAGGCTTACTTATTAGCAGTAAGATCTTTAAGCTACAATCTGCTGGTATTTTATGTATTTTGAGGGCTTCTCCTTTTGCTATTGGTATTAGTGCTTTGACCATTAGCCACATCCACTGTGAACCTCTCCAAAATTTTATTTGGCCCTCAGACTGAAAAGGCTTCAACACTCCTGCTCTCTGTAATAAGCACTATTGTATTCTATAGGTAACAGAATGCTTTGCCCTTTCTGATTTTAATATTCACTGGTGATATGGTTGCTAAACTTTATGTAATGATTACTGTATATAATTTTAGGTTCCCACTGAGGAGACTGCATGCTGTGTACATGAATGATTTACCTGTCTTCCAATCAGCTTCTGCTGAAGGCAGGCAATCTATGTTCTCCCCATATTAGATGTGATTGTATTATTTAATCACCCCAGTGCAAGATGCAGCAGAATTACCTCTTCTCTGAAGAGGTTTCCCATTGCATCTCTGCAGAACTTTCTTGTCAGTTCTTGCCTCAATCAAAACAGTGATGTAGAAGTACGGGGCAGGTTACTCCAAGTCAGAGAATTCTCTTTCTCACTTTATGAAAGTTATTTTTTTTTTCAGATGTAAGAGTGAAATATGCCTCCACTTTGAGGGGAAATTGCCCTTCTGTTACCGGAATTTTAGGAAATGTTGCACTATTATACAAGAAGACAGGATCTCTATTCTCTTTATTTCATATTGTTAGAAAATGTTTACAGTAATATTAGAAGCAGAACACACTATTAGGGATTTGAGAAGCTAGTCTAGTCACCTTTCTGTGCAGTTCATTTCTGAATAAAACAGAGTCTACTTTTGCATCTGTATATATAAATGTATAAATGTATTCTATAAGCAAATAACGGCGGATAAAATTAGCAGACATCTGGAAGAGGCACATATTTCAAAGTTATTTTGGTCTGAACATATAATGAACTGTACGGAGAATATGATTGGTAGCTGGTCTTAATAAACAGTTAGCGAGTCTTGCCCGCCTAAAATGCAAAACAGATGTATCTTTGTGCTTTTCAACTGACTTTGATGAATAAACTATATGTGATGTCATATCCAAGCTATTGGATGACTTGAATCCAGCCGAGAAATCTTTTAAAATTAAAAAAAAATAGTTTCCATTGTCGGGACTGGGGAGAACAAAGTAAATTCCAGTGCACTGGTCTTAAAGCAAATCGAAGCAACTTCAGAGACTCAGGCAGTCCAAGCACTTATAAATGGTATTATTTACTGCAAGAACTGTTTTCCTGTGAGGCACTAAGCTCCCCACCACCACACACACACACACTTTTCAGCAGGAATGGGAATGGGTCTTCCATCATTTGGGGATCTGGGAGGCATTTTTGTGAGGTAAGGAGGGAGAAAGGAAGAGCTGATAAATGTTCTCAAAAGGAAGAAGATAGTTTTCTTCAAAGTGCTGTATCTGAGGACTGCTTTAATATGATCTTGTGGTTTGACATGAGCAATATAAACTGTTCCTGGGGGGTGTTTTTGTTTGTTTTTGGCTGTGGTGCATTTCCCCCACCCCCAACCTCCCCAACTAACCCAGCAGTCAGTTTTGCTGCGTACCTCATGTGTCAGGAAGTCTGCTCTTTTTCCTGCGTGTGTTTCATCCATAAACAAGCACCAGCTACAGCTTTCTCCTTCTTTACGGAATCCCTTTGGAATTTAACTTTCAGATACAAATACTTGGAGAAATTGGCAGCTGAAGAGTATGAAAAGGAACTGAGAAGTCGGAGTTTATGTAGGGGCAGGAGTGACTTGTCCTTGAATGTGAGTTCTTCTTCAGTCCCCTCTACTTCTACTCCCAAGTGTACCAGCCCAGCTTCAACAGATTCTCAGGAAGAATCTGTGACATCTTGCAGGACTCCTCAAACCCATGAAGGTAAGCACCATTGAACTCTGAATGGAAAATAAACAGCTGTTAAGGGTTTCTTGCACTGCAAATGGATGCAGTGTTATAGATGTCAGGGTATCCCAGTTCATAGCAGTATATTAAGTATTGGCAAGTCTGTTGTCTCTTACAATACATCTCTGATATAATATGAAAAAATTCAACATGATTTTAATATTTAGATCATCTTCTGATTTTACATAGTTGTTAGAAGAGATATAATGTATATAACATTGTGTTTGGCATCATGATCTTGCAAATCGGTGCTTACAGACTGAGGGCACATGATCCAACTAAATGTAAGCATTTAAACTCTTGCAGGCTTCAGTGCCAGGTTGAAGCATATGTTTAAAATACTTCTTCTAAAATCATTGGGAATGAAATGTTTTACTTGGGCTCCATTGTTCCCTAAAATAGTAGTGCCTATGCTAGGCCCTGATCCAAAGGATGAATCAGCAATTTTTTGTGCCTTGGAAGGCTTTTAAGTGTCTGTCCCATCTCCCTGCCCACTGCACTTCAAGAGTCATCCATGCTGATTGACAAAATCAGTTTCTGATGTAGAAAGCTGTTGCAGGGTGGGAGACAGGAGGCAAGTTCCTACACTGTTATTTATATAAGATTTAAATTGTTAGTTTTTATGTGGACTTTTCTTTGCATAGAAAGGTAGGATATAAGTGTCATCATCATGGATTAAGTTTGCTTAAGTAATCTCTGTAAAATGCAGCTGTTGATAGGTGCCATTGCAGTAGAGGCAGTGCTTAACGAGGAAATGAAAACCAACTGAAAAATTACATTTTGGGTATATGCACACAGCCATTGAAATACAGCAGTTGCAATTACTAGGAAAGGAACAAGGAGCATGATCTAACAGTTCTAGTTCATTAGTGTTAAGTCATATTGATTTCAGTGACAAGCTATTCACCAGATTAATTATTTCCTGCTGAGGTCCATGTAGCTTAAAACTGTTAACTGAATTGTGACTGTGATTGGTATATTACAAGGTTTTTTTGGAAATCTACTGATGCATTGTATAGATGTAACTTCTGTAATGGAAAGAATGGCTGTTGTCTTCTTTCTCATGGGGGAAAGACTCCTCAAATTCTCAAAATTCTAAGAATAATAAATATTTCTGGAACTAATAAAGGCTGAAGTCCAGTTTTCATTGCTATGTACTTGAGCTTGATGATACCTCTTTAATTCCTTGACTTATTACCTATTATTACTTGAAGCATACTATTAAAAGAACAAACAATTGAAGAAATAATTGACATTAATGTTGAGTTTGAGCTGTGTCGAACTTCATTTTAATTTGCATGTTTTTTTCTCTATATTACTTCTTTTTACTATTAGATTCCCCACAAAGACTGTGTATCTGTGAAATTACTTCTGCTCGAAATATTCAGAATGGCAGTTATTCAAAGCCAGTGCCAGGCATTAAAAACTCATTTTTCCCTACCATTAGGATTTTTTAAATCTCTGCATGGAGAGCAACTATCTCTTTTATGGTGATTATTTTAGCATATGTCTCTGGGAATAATTCCAAACATTATAGTATAAAATGGCATACTTGCGTATGCATGGGGAATAGATTTATAACAGGTACTCAAGCTAACTCTCAGCATTTAAGGTGTGGTGTTGACTTCAACAGACAGCAGGTGTTTGGGGTTTGCTAGCAAAACACCTGTCAATAATTATTCAAATGTGCAGAGCTGTGGAATTTTGCAAGGATACTATGCATACACTTAGCTATAGCATGAGAATGGATGAGAGAAAGACAGCAAATTGCCTTATCCATTAGGAGAATGATCCAGCTCCTCAGGAATCTTGGTGTTCCCTTATCTGCCTCCTATATCCCTGTCTAGCTTTGCCTCTTTCTCAAGTGCTGTATCAGCATCATGTCCTAAAATTACAGTCCTTGGTAATAATAGCCAGGAATTAAACACCTCTGATACTGGTCTTACTCCTAAGAAAAGCAATGATAATGATCATGAGTCTGGCCTAGCTGTTTCATGCATTTTTGAATAAGGCAAAGCAAGTCCACTTTCTGAATTACCAGCTATATTCTAGAAAAAGAAAAATGGGGAAAGTAACTTTGTACAGTTAACTGCCTGAGGACAGCTGCAAAAGTTAAGGGTTGGATTTGGAAATAGGTGAGAATCATGACGTCTGGAAATATTTTTGTTTCAGTGTAGGCCTCATATATGAGCCACATACTCCAAACTGAAGGAATGTCAGTGTTTGGAAACTATTACTAGATATGAGTGTTGGAGAAATGTAGTTACTTTTTCTTTGTTACTTTGAAAATCTGTACCTGTAGCAAATCTAGAAACTAAGAGCCTTCTTTCTAAATTCTGCCCCTCATTCACCAAGACAAAATATTTCTCAGACATGAAGTGCATGCTCACGATCAGTTATCATCACCACCAACATTCTTACAACAAAGCTGCAAGGTAGGGAAGGCTGATATTCTGTAACTGGCCAGTGTCATGCAGTGAGCTTTTATGGGGAGCTGGTACTAGAAGTGGATCTTCCAAGTCCCAGTTCAGCACTCTAACCACTACACCACGCTTAATTCACCTTAGTTATGAAATCATTTTTTTTCAGATGTTGCAATCTTTCATAATAGCATTTGGAGGACTATTTTTATCTCAAATTTGGCCAGATTGTGGTGCTTTCAAAGAACCCTTGCAAGTATTGAAGAATCATTATTTTCTCTAGGAATCATGGATTTCCTAGGTAATTGTGCATGAAAAGAAATAAACTGAGACAAGATTTTTTTTAAAAGAGGTTTGCTTTGTTAAAAGAAAAGCCAGACTGCTTCATTTTTCGCCATACCAAATCTTACTGTTTTCCCAAAGCTGGTACCAATGTGTCTGGACAGCACCAAGTTATGGAAGGGCTGTGCTCATATACAGGGACCGCATGATTTTGCCTTATTATACTTTCAGTGTATGTTCTGCAAGAGGTTCTGTTCACCTTAAATATATAGAGGATGGTATAATACAAACTGAAAGTTGTAGATGGTTCATCAGCAGCATAATGACATGTCTATTTAGAAGTAAGTCTCACTGAGTTCAATGGGCCTTATGTCTGAATAGACACGTCTGGAATATGAAAACATAGCAGATTAACTAGTGTGTAATCTAAACTTTATATCTGGAAATGCTCACATAATTGATGCCTTAGCAAATTAATGGTTATACAAATTAGCCACAAGTTTCTGAAATTTCTGGCTAACCAGTCTCAATTAATGAAACATAGGAATAGCTTTGCTGACAAAAATTCTTGAATATTTGTTCAAGAATTTTGAAGGATATTTTTAAAGACAAATAAGTGAAGCATGCATGTGCACACATAAACACAGCCACTCCTCACACAAAAAATAAAATCAAATCACCTATTAGCTGTCCTTAATGTAAAATGGCATTCCTCAGCATGCTCTGAAGTGTCACTCTATGGCACAACTACACTTACATTCTGTACATTTCTGGTCACTGCACCAAAAAAGAGCTGAAAAAAGCATCAAAAAGGACAGCTAAAATGATTAAGGGGCTGGAACAGCTCTCCTGCGAGGGAAAGTTGCAATATTTGGAACTGTTTAGCTTAGGACAAAGGCAAGTGAGGTGGCAGTGCAGGGATTGGGATATGATAGAGGTGTACAGAATTATGCATAGTGTAGAAAAAGTTGATACGCATACATTTTTTTCATCCTCTCATCCTACAAGAACTCATGAAACTGATTGGTGTAAAGAAATACTTCTTTACACAGCACATAATTAAACCATTCACTGCCACAGGCGGTAGTGATGGCCAGCAGTTTGGCTTTCAAAGGGGATTGGACAAATTAATGGAGGAAGCAGCTATCAATGGTTAGTGGGCCTCATGGTTATATGTTGCCTCCAGTACCAGAGGCAGTATTATTATGTACAACAGTTGCTGGGGAACATGGGTAGGGGAATAACTGTTGCATTCCTGTCTTCTGAGTTGCCTTTGAGTAGCCACTATTTCTTCCATGGTGAATGAGATTGTAGTTTTCTCTGCTCCTGTTTCAGACAAATCCCCTTCTCTCTATTAGGAAATTACATTGCCCCAGTTAACAAGAATCAAAAATCATTTTATGTCAGGCTCCAATTTGACTCTGGCTTGATTCTATTTAACTGAAGGGCTTTGATCTGCAAGAGTTCTGCATTTGAAATACCCCAAATGGAACTTTGGTTTGTTATTAGTAATCAGAGATGGTATAGCCTCTGAACCTGAACATTGAGCTCTCATGACCACTATATTTACTCCACAAATATATTTAGTATCAGGAAAAACTCCATATCCTCTGCCTATGAGATCTAATGTAAGGTTCAACACCAATTTTTATATACAGGTGACACTTTCAGAATGATCTATAACTGGAATCATTCCAAAGATTTTAGCTCTTTGTCAAGGGTTCTTGTTGGTATGGTGGTGTATATATTGTGGTGTAACACTGTACACTGTAAAGGTTGCTAGCAACTCAATCTCTTCTGACTCTAAGGAGCCAGACACTGTAGTGAAATTCTGAAGGACTTTAAGAGATTCAAATGAGATGGGAAGAAGCAGATTTATAAAGGAAGTTTCTGAAGGAGGAAACCTTTGCTGAATGTATAGGCACTGGATTCCCTTCCTTTCATTGTTTTAGAGACCTATTATTTATTATTTATGTACTGCCCCATAGCCCATGGGCTCTCTGGGCCATTTGAAACCTTGTTTGCATTTGCATATTTGTTTTGCTTCTCTCCTCTCTCGCCTTCCTTGTTAAATAAATCCTTCTTTGTCTATATAGTGCTCACTTGTTGAGACACAGGGGCCTTGCGGCCTGGAGGCATCATGCGCTGCTTTGGGTTCAGCACTATTCTCCCTTAGCCACCACACAACTCTATGAACCCAGTGTAGCTTCTACCTTTTCACATTTTCTAATAGGGAAAGTATATTTCATTGGAGAGAATTTTATTAAAAATAGCAAATCACAAAACACATTTTTCTTGTACCAAGGTAATAATTTTCTTATCTAGAGATTTTATAGCCCTTCTTTTGCCAAGCCATAGAAATTACAGGCATAGCACACCAGGATGCTCCCCTGAGCAAGTCCTATTGAAGAGTGTTCTTGTTCTGGTTCAATTCCTTTCAGTGAAATTTATGCAGGGATCCTCCTGATGACTTGAATTCCCCAAAAGCCTGCTTGCACCTTAAAGTAATCTTCTGGTATCCTGCTTTTTATTTTTGCTTTTAATTATTGGCTAAATTCCCCTATCTTCCACTATTCTGTTACCCAAGTTTAGGTTGGAATCTCCTCTTCTTTTGTCTTCTTTTATGACTCACTTGAATTCTCATCAGAAAAGACAATCCAGCCTACAGATCACTGCAGTGTCCATTCCAACAACTGTAGACATTGCAAAAGTAGAACTCCTAAGGAGAGAACTGGAAGAGAATCATAGTATAGCCAAGAAGTGATTTCAAGACTACACAAAATTAACTTACATGTTCCATTCCCATCACCTTTGCATGGCCATTTCTGGGTTGACAGAGCTGGGGCTGCTCAACTGAATACCTCTGGATGACTTGCAGTTTCATCACAGCACAGCATGAAAGTCTTGCATGTGAAAATCTTCTGATTTAAGTGGAAGCAACAATGAGGGTGAATGGCTGAATTTCACTGTGGCAATGAGAAAACAAGGGGAAAAAATCAACTGCTCCATCCACCATGTGTGCCAGATGCCAGCCAGTTAAAAGACAAATGTATGCCATATGCCAAATAATTGGAGACTAAATGCCAATGCCAAGTGTGTGTTTTATGTGGCTATGTGGAACTAAGTAGGCATGAGGGAACATGCTTTCTGTCAGCTGGGTGCATGCCGCTGCCTTCTTCAAGCTTTGCCATTTGCCATACTAATAAAACTAAAACATGTGTATCTTTTCTATGTGAGTACTTTGTGTCAGCTAAAAACTCAGGCACTATAAAAATTGGTTTTCAACAGCACAGCAAGTAAAAGCCAAACGTTGCCTTGTCCTTTGTCTATTGCTCTTGCCCCCTTCCCCTTGTCTAATTGAACATCACTCCCTGGAGACCTATTCTTAATCTTTCAGCACCTAGTGTGGATGGACTGATTAAAGCATGTGTAAGTACACTGATAACATCAAATATGAATCAGTGTAAGTTTCAGCCTTTTACCTTGTTTGGTTCAAACAAGATGAGACAGATTTTCGAAATTACCTCATGAGCAAAGCCTTCTTCAAATGGTATACAGCAATCCTGTTACCTGAACATCAGACTGAAGTATTTCTTAAAGACAACTACTGACACACCTTCCTCTTTCTGCTCACTTGGAGGAATGAAGGCTGCTGAAACTCACTGAACTGTTCAACGTACAAAACACTGTTTTTAAGTGAACATTTTCTCCATTATTCTTTTCACCAGTGAGTGGCAATGAACCTGAATGTGAACCAGAACCTGAGCCAGAGACGAAAACAGAGCAAGAGCAGCTCAAGCAGGGAATAAAAGCACCCCAAGACGTATTGGTCACAGAGGTGGAATCAGAGGTTGAAGTGGAGCAAGGGCCAGAGCCAGAAGAAAGTGCAATACTTAGTGAAAAAGAGAAGCAGAATGAAGATGTGAATGAAAAGGACAACTGCTCTGCATCCAGCATATCCTCAGCAAGCAGCACTTTAGAGAGGGAGGAAAGGGAGGAAAAAGTAACCAGTAACAATGAAACTGGTAACGTGAAGCTTTTTTATGATAGTTGTCCTCTTTAAAGTAGTTTTAAAACAGCTTTATTATAACATATGTTATGAGAAAAAAAGAGTTTGTTTTATCACTGGTAAATACTTTATTACATTTTGAATTCATAGATACTCTGAGGACAAAATACAGTGCTCACAGTCTTGCAGAAGATTCAAACCTTTAATTAAAAGACATGATTTCTCTAAGAAAAGCATATTTACTTAAATCATAGTGTGACAATCACCAGCAGTCACATTTCAAAGCTGATGAATTAACATGCCAGAAGGAAATAAGCCAGGAATCTGAAATGATCCTATTGTTTCCATCCCCCTGAAAACCAGCACGGTATAGTTGGAACAATAACAAAAGCAGCCATATGATTTTCAGGAGGGTTGGACTTTGTGAATTATTATTTCACATGTTGGCTCAGATCTTGTTTATTTATTTATTTATTTATTTATAAAATTGTTCTTCCCTGCTTAATGACCCAGACAGCAGGTTTGAGTACATGTGGGTCCTCACTGAAGAGGGGAGAGATAAGGTCACATATAACAACCTTGGGTATAGATTATCATTGAATCATGGGTAATTGTTGAATCTTGGGTTCTGTGCAAGCCAGGTCTTTGTGCATGGTGCTCTAATATTAGAGTCCTCCTCTCAGCTTTCCTCTTGCCTTCTGTTTTACATCTGCCTTAATTTAATGTCATTGGCTCTGTTCACATGTAATAGTAAACAATAATGTAGAATTCAATACATGAGCAGGAATATGCTTATGCTAAGCAGGAGATTAATATACTCCCCCTCCTCTTACTATATCTGAGATAAGCAATAAATAAATCCTCAGTCCTGCTTTAGCAGATTCCTGCTTTGTTGTTATATGCAAACAAAGAAATACAGTCAGTAATAAATATGGAAGGATCATTATTTACTTTTTGCTGATCCAATTTGCAGATGATACTAAAATAGAGGAGGTGGCCACAACTGAGGGGCAGGTACTCTGGATCCAGAAGGATTTGAACAGGCTATGGAAGTGGGCCAGGGACAACAGGATGGTGTTCAGTGTGGATAAGTGCAAGGTCTTGCACTTGGGGCATAGGAATGGGTGTCATAAGTACAGGTTAGGGAACAGGTGACTGGAAAACAGCACTTGTAAAAGGGATCTCAGGATGCTGGTTGACTGCAGGCTAAGCATGAATCAACAGCAAATACCACCCTTAGATGCATAGCCGGAAGTGTGGCTTCTAGATCAATAGAGATATTATTAGCACTCTATACAACTCTGGTGTGCCCACAGCTGGAGTATTGTGTTCAGTTCTGGGCTCCACATTACAGGAAGCATATAACCAGGTTGGAATCAGTGCAGTGAAGGGCCACAAGGATGGTAGCTGGTTTGCAGGGTAAGCCATATGAGGAGAGACTGAGGGAACTGGGTCTCCTCAGCCTTGAGAATGGGAGACTCAGAGGGGACTTGTTAGCAACATATAGGTATGTATGTGAGGTGTCACATGGACATAAGTCATTATCTTTTTTTCCCCTGCTGATGAGGGCAGGATGTGTTCCAATGCAGCAAAGCTCAGGGAATCAAGATTCAAGGTGGATGCCAGGAAGTACTTCCTGATGGTTAGGACCCCAAGGGTATGGAATGGGCTTCCACGGGAGGTGGTTGAAGCTCCATCAGTGAGGGTGTTTAAAGATAGGCTGTACATGCACATGGTACACATGTCATAAGTGGAGCCGGCTGGAGCTGGGTTCAGACTAGATGACTCGGGAGACCCTTTCTGATGCACTCTGTTTCTGTTTCTAAACAAATTAACAGGCAGTTCCCAGGTTACAAACAAGTTCCATTCCTGAGAAAATAGAAAGCCGTCTTTAAATTAAGTGAGTGTTGCCGGGGGGGGGGGGGTCAATCCTCTACATTCCACATTCACAGTGGTTATGGATGCTGGACCCCTGTGAAAGTGGAAAAACCATTAATATCTCCAGCCCTCCACCAACTCACCAGTCCTTTCTCTTTGCAGCAAAGAAATACTGGAGAGATTTCCCTCTCTGGATGGTTATGGCAGGAAGGCCTGCCTTCCATGCCTCCCTCTCTCCCCTTCCCCATCCTTTCTTTCTCTCTGGTAACTATGAGTTTCCACAGTAATTTTTAAAAATGAATAGGCTTTATGGCAGATTGTTCATAAGTACAGGTTGTTTATAACTTGGATGTTCATAACTCAGGGACTGCCTGTATCTGTTTGACTCTACTGTGTTTATTACTGGGAATGAAAATCATGGATTTTCACTATATCCTTTATGCACCATTTAGTACATTCATTCTGAAATTCCTCTGTCAAACATGTTTACTATTCATTAAGCTTGCTAAGTAGGCAATGCCTCTCTTTTGATTTCTCCACCTTCTTCTTTGTGATCTCTGTGCATCACACATACAGGCTCTGCACCTGTGCAGGGACTGTGGTCAAGATTTTCCTAGCGAAACTTGTTTTGGAAGGAGTCCCACCCCTCCCTCCCCTGCTATGTATAGGAGGGACCTCCACCATTTTTCCAAGTTCTTTTCCAACTGCAATTTTAGGTGCCTCAGATCTCTTTCTAATGATTCTCTTGTTACTTCACAAATGCCTTCTAGAATCTTTTATCTCTTATTCTATGATCTGTTCTATTCACTTACTCTCCTTACTCATTTTCAAAATCCAGCCTTTTTTCCCTACCTTTATCCAGAAACATCCCCCACCCCCAGACACACACACACTGTCTTCTTTGCTTTGGATTTCCTCTCAACTCTCCCTCTCTCCCCTGATGGCACACAAGGCAGTATTTAAGAAATGTATACAGTGAGACATTCACATGCCCTCAGTTGATGTACATTCATTGTGCCTATTTTGCTTAAGCAAAAACTGCCATGTGGACTCCTGTCCTCACTGCCAGGCATTCAGGCTTCAAAAAACCAAGCAGGCTGGCTTAAGTCAGCAATGTAGAGATGTGGCTTTATGGCCACTGATTTGGTCATAGCGGTACTGCCAGAGCACCCTTTGACTTCACAGGTGACTCCTCCTTCTTGTCCTCCATAAGTAGCTGCTGCCACTCCAACAACTGCTTTGACCATGCCATCAAAATCTGAGTGCACACCTGAGCAGTAGAGGGCCAAGAAGGACAATAGTATGGCGGATGCTGAGAAAATTGCAGCACAGAAGGGCAAAGACAAGCCCAAGAAATGGACAAGCCCAAGAAACAAAACACATTCACCATTGGTGTCTTCTGGCATGCACGCCTGTTCTGCCAATGGTCTCTGCTGCAGTTCCTGCGCCAGCTTCTCTACTGGTTCCTGCACTGGTTCATTCCTGTGAGAGTTCCTCCATTGGGCACAATGGTACAGACTGAACTGGCTGTGATGCTCTCCTTCTCCAAAGGAGAGAGATGAGACTCACCACTCTGTACTCTAGCCAGCCTGCTACTGTTCTCTCCACTAAGGCTCCTGTACTCCCTGCACCAGGAGCAGTATTCCTTGACGATGCTGCCACCAAGCTCAGCCACCAAGCCTTGCATGGCACCTTCTCACCAGCACCACTGGTTCCTGTGTTCCAGCTGCTGTTTCCTACAATTCAACTGCTGGTTCCTGCCTGTCAGCCACCTGTCCACGTGCAGACTGTTCCACCTTGACAACCTTTCTTGCCATCTGATTGATAGTCCTCATTGTCAATAGATGATGCATCTGATTCAGAGCAACCACCAATCTCTGATAACCGAATATCTTCATCACCTTAACATGTCATCTTGACGCAAGGCCCAGGATCCCCTTCCAAAGACCTAGGAAGGTTCTTCGAACAGCTTTTCCAAATGGCAAACTTGCTTGGGTTGGACACTCAACAGTTCACCAAACCACTAGTGGTCTTAGTCTATGTTGTTGTCTGACCAGAGGACTCAGTGCTGATGGGCATCCCATTCCATCCCACACCCCTTCAGTCCATGAAGGACCCATGGAAGATGCTGGCACAGCCACAGACAGCATCAAGCCATGTGTGAGAGCCTGTATCAGATCCAAGAGACAGCATGTCTGTGAGAGCCTGTACCATCCAAGAGAGCCTGTACCAGGTCCAAAAGAGAGAGATTCCATTCCTGCTGTGCCATCTGCAACTGAACTCGCTCATCTTGGAGTCAGTGCAGGGTTGGGCACAGAGGGAACACTCCACCTCGGCAGATTGAGAAGGGTGCTGTTTGGATGCTATGGTGAGGAGGGTCTATGTGGCAATGGGACTGAATCTTCACACCCCAAATTACAAAGCTACCATGGAGAGATAACTCCATGGAGACCATGGAGATCAAGTCTTCTTGTGGGAGATGGGTGTCCTAGCCAAGTTCCTTCCATTGAGAACTGGCTAGAGTATTCCAGGTGATGTCCAAGCATCAATACTGCTTGCTACTATGTCAAATGCAGCTCCAGGGCCCTTGCTGGCGTGGTGGTGATCCAGACACTGAGCCTATCATAGGAGGCTTGGTCCAGGATTGAAGAGATGCTCTTTGACAGTGAGGGCCTCTTCAATGCCTGGATGGACAGCTGGACAGTGTCCAAAAAGCCAGGGCTGCAGCAAGAAGGATGGGCTTTACACACTCACAGCCATTGAGGGCATATAAGTGGCCCTGCAGCCCATCTCCATTCCAGTCTCAGGGCTAATACCAGCAAGCTGCACACCAGCAGCAGTCTGCTCAGCCATGTCAAAGAGACACCACAGCTTAGTTCCAACATTCTCAAAAGAAGAAACTGAACTCTGAGAGGTGATGCCATTGACTACTGCAATGAATTCACCCCATTTCCAACAGCACAAATATGGTTCAAAGGCCACCTTACCAGCTACCTTCTTGCATGGGAAGCCATATCATTGGATTGGTAGGTTCTCTTCATTGTGAAGAGCAGATGTTGCATACTATTCAACGCTCTTCAACACTCAGGATCATGTACACAACACCACCCTCTCTGGTGCTGGTGAAAGAGTTTGCCG